TCAAAGAACATATCGAAATAACAAAACATCCCAAAGAAAATCTAGTTAATATTTCAGACGGTATGCAAATAGACCCTCAGTGGTATAACTTATTAGAAGGCGCTACAACACACTATGTATTATAATAAAACCACAATCTATGATACGTTGTGCTGTTTGTTCGGATGAATCAGACGTACAACCTAAAACTTATTGTCGGTGCGTCTTTATATTCTATCTTTCCGCTTTCTTGTCGTTTAATTAATCACTAAAATATAATAGCATAAATGTCTCGAATACAGAAAAATCCCTGCCAAATTTCAGAAATATTCGACGAAAGGCACGGGAGTTAGTGAGCTCGTAACTGGACGAAACAAATTGTTCTTCCACACACACATCCACATACCACAGACTTATATCCGTACTTACAGAATAAATAGCCGAAATTTTCGAACGTTTTTGGCGTTTTAAGGTTCTTAAACTCTAAAAATGTACAAATCTTGTGGTCTTTGTCCGATCGACCAATTTTCCTTCTGTTATGTGTAATTTCCATTAAATTAAAAACAAAATAACTTTTCCTATCGGTATTTATTCCAATCTCAATTTTATAACAAAATTAATAATAAATTGAAGTGTAAAAATTGGCAATTGAATTTAATTCTACTTAAATTTATTTAAATACTCCGATAATTTTCAATAAATCGAACGCGTGCACTATATAATAACGCTACATTGGATTCATTCAACGACATAAAATACTGAAGTAGAAACAAACTTCTAGTACAGAAATCTATTAATTAGAAAGCAAACCTTCGGTCGCATTAATTATAATACTTTAATTAACATGTAAATATAACTGATAATATTTTAAAATTATTCTAACTAAATTACTGTAAAGAATTCGATACGAATTGTCAGGATTGAACCAAAGATGCGATCAAATTGTAATCGTAAAACTTAAAATTAAAAAAAAATTATATCTATATCTATTCTATATAAATAAATATATATATATAAATGGATATGTATGTCCCTATATTTCACTTTTCCGCCAAAACTACACATCGCACGTGAATGGTGTTTGTATGTGGTAGTAGCCCCAAGTCTCCATTCGTGCA